ATGGATAGAGAGGCAGCCAGCAGTATCTGCTACACTGGGCTAGAGAGAAAGTCCCAACAAATGCCAAAGAACCTATATCCTACAGGTCACTGACTCTGACCACAAAGCAGTTACATGTGAAATGAAAAACAAGCCACCTAAGAACTCCTGGCATTGCACTTGAAAACACATTCCTGAACAACCCACGAGTCCAAGAAGTTGTCAAAATGGAAATGAGACAGCATTTACAATTGGACCGTAGTAATACAAATATCACCTATCACAACTGGTTCAATAATTAGGGTATTTAGAGGGATAGGAGTGTTCTTAACTATTTATATTATGAAAGCAAAAAACATTAATGAGTTAGGGGTCCTCCTTAAGAAGGCAGCACAAAGGCAATCCCATGTTCACAACATGGACATGGTCTCTCTCCCTCAGAATGAGTTCTCTTGTGAAGAGCAAGCGAAGATCCACACCTGAAGACCTTCCATATTCATTATACTAACAGGACTTTCCTCCAGTGTGTCCTCATGTGTTTCATACAAGAAGGAGGGCTTGTGAAGGCTTTCACACTTTTTGTGGAAAAAAAAAAAAGAATATATATATATATATATATGACCTTTCTGCGCAGTTCCTGTCCTGATTCTGAGTTGAATAAAGTGACTTTTGCCAAATGGCTCTATTAAGTGTCTGTTATCCCAGAGCTTTGCACATAAGATTTCTTAAAATCATTTTTATAACTAAATTATGTTCCAAATCCTCAATAAAGGATGTTTGGGATGGGAGAGATTTGATTATATTTGTGTGCTCGTAACATTATTTTGTTAATGCTAAATTTCATCAGTGTATTAATGATATTTGATTATAGAGGAAAATGTCTGTGGGAAGGCAATTCTTCATGGGTAGCTCATGTGTGCACACCTTATTCTGCTCTAGACTATGTCTTGGAGGATGTTTATACAACATCCTTAGAGCAAAGGGCGGGTTTTTTGTTGTTCTGTGTAAGAAAGATAACATCTCCCTCTGGGGGAAAGAAAGAGCAGGTTTGTGTGCAGCTCTTTAGAAAAGCTTGGGGCTCCAGCTGTGATACAAATCCACTTCATGTCACCCCTGGGGGACTTGGGAATCAGGAGGAACTGACAGCAATATGACGCTTGTACTGCCCGCTGGGCTGTAATAAAGTCCTGGCCCAGAAGTCTGGTGTCTTTCGCCAACATCCATGAAACTGTGGCAGGCTAACTTGTTAGCCTGTCAGTATGGGGAAATCTCAGATCTTTGAGATCCTGACAATGTCCCTGTTCTTAGTATAAATGTTGAAGAAGTCTTATATCTGTAATGGCTCATCCATAAAATAAAATTATACACAAATGAGAAAAGCTTTAACAGTCAAAAATGTTGACAACTGGTGAATCTAGGTGAAGGAATGGACTTTGGGAGAATTTTCCCAACCAGTACTATAAGGCTACCATATCCTTGAAACAATAACAAAAGGACAACATGAGAAAGAAAAACTGCAGGGCAATCTCATTCAAAGATGCAAAAATCCTAATATATTAGCAAACTAGGTAAAATGATGTGTAACTGATATGTGATGGCCAAGTTATTTAGGAATGCAAAGTTAATTTCACAATGAAAAATCAATTAAAGTAATTTACCACACAAACATGTTAAAATGTTACATGTATTCATTCATTCATTCATTCATTCATTCATTCAACAAATACTTATTGAGTGCCTACCCTGTGTCCTACCATTGTTCTAGGAGTGTTGAAATACATCAGTGAACAAATATCATCATCTCAGGAGATGCTGAACAAACATTTGATAAAATTCAACATCTGTTCATGAGAAAGGACGCCAACCAACATCCTAGGAAAAAGAAAGAAACTTTCCTACCCTAGTAAAGTTATCTGCAAAAATGTTATAGAGAACACCACACTTAAAGATGAAATATGAAAAAAAATGCCCTTTAAGATCAGGAAGAAGACAAGAGTACCTAGGACGGCTTCTAGTCAGTATGGTTCAAGTCCCAGCCAGAGAGAGTCAGGCAACAAATGCATGAGAAAGGTACACAAATTAAAAAGGAGCAGAGGAAATCTGCCTGTGTTGGTACATACGATCATCTACAGAAAACATAAAAAGATCCACACATCGGTTATTAGAGCAAGAGTATAGCAAGTCTGCTACAGGCCAAACTCAACATACAAAGAGAATTATTATCTATAAGGACCAGCAAGATACACATACCTCTAGCCCTTCTCCAGAAAACTTACATCCTGGTTTTAGTTTGAAGTACCCAAAGCCTATGAAAGAAAACCATTCGACGTCTCACAATAAGTCCAAAAAGACTTTTAAAGATCACAACAAGGAAAAGAACGAAATTAGAAAGTGTGGCACTGAAACTACTGAGTAAAAGGAGGAAGACTCTGAAAAGGATGACATCTCCAAGCTAAATAAATACCTCACCGGAATCCCAACAAATGAGCTTATAGAGGGTCATACTCTTCGGTCATGCATCTACTCCAAAAAGGATTCATCAACTGAACTCACGCATCATTTGAGAAAAGATCATGCTGTTGCCCCCTACGAGGATTGCCACTATTGTAACGATGACTTCAGAGCTAAGTATTATGGACATATCCCACCATAATGGAGACCATGGCTCAATTTATCAACATGAATGTACAGTGGGATCTCCTTTTATAACAGCTTTAGTGAGATACAGTTTACATACCATAAAACTCAACCCTTTTAAATGTAAAACCCTTTTAAGTACATTCAAATGATTTTTAGTGAATGTAGTTGTGCAACAATCAGCACAAACCAGTTTTAGAACATGACTATCAACCCAACAAGATACTTCCTGCCTGTTTAATCAAGGTCCCACCCCCCGGGCAAGGCAAACATGAACCTACTCTCTCGATGGCTTTCCCTATTCTGGATATTTCATATAAATGAAATCATACAATATGTGGTCCTTTGTGACTGGTTTCTCTCACTGAGCATAATGTTTTCAAAGTTCATTCATGTTGTAGCATGTATCAGAACTTCATTTCTTTGTATGGGCAAATATTGCTTCTATGGATAGCTAAATTTTGTTTACTTATTCTCCAATTGATGGACTTTGAGGGTTTCCTCCTTTGGGTATTATGAAACATGCTATGAACATTTGTGGGCAAGTCTTTGTGTGGAAGTATCTTTTTCTTTCTCTTGGGGGTCAAATGGCAAATTTGTTTTAAGAAATTGCCAAACTTCGGGATACCTGAGTGGCTCAGAAGGTTGGATGTCTGCCTTCGGCTCAGGTCATGATCTCAGGGTCCTGGGATTGAGCCCCACATCAGGCTCCCTGCTTGGTGGGGAGTCTGCTTCTCCCTCTTTCTCCCCACTGTTCCCCTGCTTGTGCTCCCTTGCTCTCTTTGTCCAATTAATAAACAAATAAATAAAGAAAGAATCTTAAAAAAAAAGAAAAAAGAAATTGCCAAACTTCTTCAAAATGACCACACATCACTTTACAATCCCACCAGCAACACATGTTCCCTGAATGCTGGAGGCTGCTTTTTTCTGATCCCTCTTTTCCTCAAGACCCATGTTTGTCAATATAGATGGTTATTTTAGATACTAAGAAACCAATGCCCACCCATTTCATATGTTCAAGAAAATAATATTTTAAATATGTATATATTTATCAAATGTATAAAACTTTACTGAAAGACATTAGAGAATGACTAAATAAATGAAGTTATTGAGTTTAAGGCCTGAAAGACTTAACAACAATTCTACCAGTACTGATCTAATGAGATGTCAGACATAATACCCATATGACTTTTTGTGGAATTGTGCAAGTTTACTGTAAAATACGTATGAAGAAATGAAAGGCACAGAAGAGAGAAGCTACTCTTGAAGAATAGGTTGTAGGGATCTCTTAGATGTTACAAAATAGTATAAAGTTACTAAAGATGGTGCTGGATTGATACAGGATTAACAAATTTAATTATAATAGAATGGAAGGCCCAGAAACATAAAAACATGCACACAGAAACTTCAAACGGGAGCTTTCAGATTAGAGTTCTAGGAAAACTGGTTATCTACCAGGAAGGAAATTAAATTGGACCCCTCCTGACACCACATATTTAAAATATCATTAATGGATAGGAGAATATGTTGGAAGACATTTCAGAAGGACTTTTTAGAAACATTTTAGATGACAAGAGAACAGAACATATTTATGACTGTCTGTTGTTGTCCCAACATAATCAGCCAAAGACCACCAGGGACAAAACCCATAGTCTAACAAAGTCCAGCTTACTGGCTCATTGCAACAAGGGGGACCACACACCTAAGGAACCATGGATGTCCTACCAAAGAACTATGATATTATAAAATCTGGGGGAAGGAGAAAATTCAGGTAAAATTTAAATGGAGTTGTATTTTGATAGGCTCAAAAGAAAGTGACATTGTTGAGTTAAAATACGTCAAACAGAAATAGTATTTAGAATTAAACCAAAATAAAAAATACCTTAGGTCGAAACCCATGTAATGTGCTAAAGGGAAGTTCAGGGGATCTCTATGGGTGCTTTTATTCACAAACATGATCTGAAAACTAAGGAGTTAGATTTCCATTTTGAGGAGAAGACCCTGCTGAAAGCAATTCTATATTTATAACACTCGTAAGATTTCTCTCCCATTCTGTATTTCTTTATGCAGGAACTGAAGTCCCCATGGAAGGCTTTCGATATGCCTTCAGACGAACGATATGCACAGAGTTGCTCACATGTGAGACCGACGGAGCTTTCCCATGTGCTTCCAATCCCAGGGCTTCTCTCCACCGTGAGTACTCACATGTTTCCTCTGGGGTGGATGACTACTCAAGTTACTACAGTAGCTGCCACTGGTCAATCTTCCCTGTATGTACCCTCTTGTGATCAGTCAGGTTAGGGCTCCTATTGAAGGCTTTTCCATGGTTACTGCAATGTTACTTCCATGGTTACTTCCATGGTTACTTCCACCCCCATTATGGGTTCTCATGTGTGCCATCGGATGGAATTTCCTGCTCAAGACTTTGCGACAAACATCACACAGATAGTCCCTCCCTGGTGTGCGCTCTCTTATGCACGGTCAGGTTCCTGCTCCTGATGAAGTCTTTCCACAGTCCTTGCATTTACACAGGCTTCTCCCAATTGTGTATCCTCTCCTACTCTGGTTAAACTCATAGGGTTTCTCTCCAGTGTGGATTTGTGTCATAAAGGATGGGTGATGACCAGAAGCTTTCCCACGCACAGGGTTTCTTGCCAGCATGAGAGCACACGTGGGTCTGAAGGGATCAAAGACAACTAGACAGTCTCCCACATTCTTTACATTCATTTCATTTCTCTCCTGTGTAACTTCCCTTGGGCCAAACAAGGTTAGCATTCCTTCTGATGGCTCTTCCACACAGATTGTATTCATGGAGTTTCTCTCCAGCTGGATTTAGTGCCTGTTGGGTAAGGGATAAGCGATAACTAAAGGCTTTCTCACTTTCACTGTACTCGTGGGGATTACCCCCCACCACAGAAAGTCTGCACTAGGGATGCCCGGGTGGCTGCCTTCGGCTCAGGTCATCATCCCAGGGTCCTAAGATCGAGCCCCACATTGGGCTCCTTGCTCAGTGGGGAGCCTGTTTCTACCTCTCTCTTCCACTTCCCCTTGTGCTCTCTCTGACAAATAAATAAATCTTTATTTTTTTTTTAAAGATTTTATTTATTTGACAGACAGAGATCACAAGTAGGCAGAGAGGCAGGCAGAGAGAGAGGAGGAAGCAGGCTCCCCGCTGAGCAGAGAGCCCGATACGGGGCTTGATCCCAGGACCCTGAGATCATGACCTGAGCCAAAGGCAGAGGCCTAACCCACTGAGCCACTCAGGCACCCCTCAAATAAATAAAAAATCTTAAAAAAAAAAGTCTGCACTATAAAAAAAAAAATTCCTACTTGATAAGTTGCTACCATTTTCAGAGCACATGCACTATTTCTGCCCTGAGTTCTTTCTAATTTTAAGTAAGGCGAATGCTCTGCCTCAAGGGCCCATCATATAGTCATGACACTCATAAAGCTGCTTATGTAGATTTTTCTTGATAATTACTTCAACAAAAACTGAATTATATGTCAACATTCACTAAGTCATATTTATGGAACTGCTTACTTATGGCAACTCTCCATAAATAAATACTGAAACTGGTTTAGAATATTCCCCAAATTCATGATACTCAGAGACTCTCTCCTGAGAAACAACTTCTTTTGGGTGAAGGTCACTGGACCCAAGTGTCTCCCCATGGTGGTTGCGTTCTTCTATGACACCGTAATCCCCTACTGCAGAGAACCAGCAATGTGCCCTCATGAACCTTACCATTTTCCTGACAGTGGATGTTTTTTCCAAACTTTATTCTGCTTTGCAGTGGTCTTTTTGGTTTTCAGTTGAAACTTTTAATCTGAAATTAATGGGAGAGAGGAGGAGAAAGATTTAGTTCTTAGAGAAATAAATGATGAGATAGATAATTAAAAACAAAAACAAAGAGCCAGGCCCACGTAGCTTTTCTTCATAAACAGACTCTAAACATGAGTGTCTCTAAATATGAAAGAATGCCCCAGCAGTTGGACAGACTTTAAGGATTTCAGCAATATGAAGAATTTAATAATTTTTTATTTTATTTTATGTATTATTATTTTTCAAGATTTTATTTATTTATTCATGAGAGACAGAGACAGAGAGAGAGAGAGAGAAGCAGAGGGAGAAGCAAGAAGCCCAATGTGGGACTCAATCCCAGGACCCTGGGACCATGACCTGAGCTGAAGGCAGACACTTAACTGACTGAGCCACCCAGGTGCCCAGCAATATGAAGAATTTGACAGTGACAGGAACAAGGGATGGAAATGCTAAGAAATGATTTTGTTAAGAATGAGACAGCTGGGACGCCTGGGTGGCTCAGTTGGTTAAGAGGCTGCCTTCAGCTCAGGTCATGATCCCAGCGTCCTGGGATCGAGTCCCACATCAGGCTCCTTGCTCCGCAGGAAGCCTGCTTCTCCCTCTGCCTCTGCCTGCCCCTCTATCTGCCTGTGTTCACTCTCTCTGACAAAAAAAAAAAAAAAAAAAAAAAAAAAAAAGAATGAGACAGCTGCTAACAGTCTGATAGAAGGCACTGTCAAAGTCTGAGGACAGTAGAAAAATGAATAAACAGGTGGGGCCATGGTCCAATATTTACAAAGGTGGAAATGTTCAGAAAAAAGGAAGCAAGATAGAGCTTTCTCTGGAAGCAAAAGAAAGTTGGGGAGAAAAGGAAGAAGGAGAGGAAGGGAAGCCAAACCTTCAAGAGAAAACTCATTCTAAGTGGCCTGAGATGATTTCTCAGACAAGATAACATCTTAGACACTGTAAAATAGTAGTATGTGGTGGTAGATGCTAGCTACACTTGCGGTGAGCACAGCATAACATAAAAACTTGTTGTCAAATCCCTATGTTGTACACCTGAACTAAGGTAACACCGTGTCAACTATACCTCAATTTTTAAAAAACATTTTATTTATTTATTTGACAGAGAGAGAGGTCACAAGGAGGCAGAGAGGCAGGCAGAGAGAGAGGGAGAAGCAGGCTCCCTGTTGATCAGAGAGCCCGATGCAGGGCTCGATCCCAGGACCCTGAGATCATGACCTGAGCCAAAGGCAGAGGCCTAACCTACTGAGCCACCCAGGTGCCCATGGGAAGAGCTTTTTAAATCAAACATCTACAGCCTTATGAAATGCATCCACATACAGTACCTTACATTCTTTAGATGGTACGAAGCATACATCCTTGTGCATTACGAAGGCAACATCATTTAATAGCACAGAATGTGCTAAAATTGTGGCTTTTATCACCTCCTGCCTGGAAGATTCCAATGTTTTATAGACTGGCTCCTTCGCTTTCTTGTATCTCTATTCCTAATAGTTAATAATGTTCCATGAGGTCAACACAACTCTACTAGGGAGGAAAAAAGCCTACAAATCAGATCTTGCCCCCTCCCAGTTTAGTTTAAGAACTTCTAGAATGTCTACTGCACATAGCACACAATTCCAATCTCAGCAGGTGACACCTTCCCACCTCTGGCCTTTCACACACCTGTCTTGCCCCTCCCTGGTGGGAATGCTTGCTGAATGAGGACCAGGAAGATGACCAGGTTCTTCTGGCATTAGTGCTGGGTTACTGGGACAATCTCTCCTGAGAGTTTACAAACATAAGTCCACTCTCCCTTGGGTATTGGTGTAAATCACAACACCTCTGTGGTCCAAAACACCTTAAGCAAGAAACTAACATATGAACAAGCACACAGTTTCTGGAAAAACTCAGTTCCCACCAGGCCATAGAAGAGACCCAGTCACAGGATCCCCAGAAACCGAACACTGACAATAAAACAACAACAACAAAAAACAATTTAAGTCAAGGGGGCACCAAATAATAATGGTTATAAGAAAGGAAAATAAGGAGCCCAACTCATTCATGAGCATAAGTGCAAACAGCAGAAAGAAGGTATTAACACACTGAATGTACCAGTGAGCAGGAGAATCTAAGACAAGCACACAGGGATTCAAGTTAGGGTTAGTTTCTTTATGAAAACGCTTAATAGAATTCACTACATTTGCAGTCTAGAGAGAATCATATGATTCTCTAAATACATTCAGTAAAAGTATTTGATAAAATCATTATTCCATGGCTTCAGGGAAAAAATTAAATAAGAAGGGAACCTGGTGGCGCAGTCATTAAGCATCTGCCTTCAGCTCAGGTCATGATCCCAGGGTCCTGGGATAGAGCCCCACATTGGGCTCCCTGCTCTGCGGGGAGCCTGCTTCTCCCTCTCCTACTCCCCCCTGCTTGTGTTCCCTTTCTCGCTGTGTCTCTGTCAAATGAATAAATGTTTTTTTAAAAAAGGGAACATCTTTATCAGAAAACAGTTTTTTTAGGGCACCTGGGTGGCTCAGTTGGTTAAGCAACTGCCTTTGGCTCAGGTCATAGTCCTAGAGTCCCGGGATCGAGTCCCACATGCATTCAACTCCCAGCACCATGGGCAGTCTGCTTCTCCCTCTGACCTTCTCCCCTCTCATGCTCTCTCTCAATCTGTCTCTATCTCTAATTAATAGGTAAAAATCTTTAAATTCTTTTTAAACCTACACCTTCCAGAATTTAGTAATTAGACTGAGGTTATAAAAGAGAAGAATGCCTGTTTTGGGGAGATCTATGCCCACTGAAGTCTTCAGAAGTAAAGGGTTATGATTTCTGCAACTTACTCTCAAATGATCTAGCAAAAATAGTAGTTATTATATGTATACCAAAAGGGACAAGAAATGTGGCAAAACATTAACAAATGCCGAATCTAGACAAAGAGCAAGTGGGATTTCATTGTACTGTTCTTGCAACGTTTTCTCCTATAAGCTTCAAGAGGTTTCCAAACAAAACATTTTATTTAAAAAAAAAAAAAGGGAAATATAGGGGTGTCTGGGCAGCTCAGTTAAGCACCTGCCTTCAGCTCAGGTCATGATCCTGGGGTGCTGGGATCAAGCCCCACATCTGGCTCCCTGCTCAGCGGGGAGCCTGCTTCTCCCTCTCCCTCTGCTGCTCCCCCTGCTTGTGCTCTCTCGCTCTGTCAAATAAATAAATAAAATCTTAAGGAATAATAAATTTCCCATAGTCCTAGTACCTGATATTGGGAGAGCTCCTTCCTCCCTTTTTCCTGGAGATCCCCGTGGTTTTAACTCACACAATTTCATGCATGTCACTTATGCTTTAGACTTCTATTGGGTTTTAGCCGCAAGTATATGCCACCAAAATCCGTTTTAATAATATCGAGAGCAAGAGATCCCCACGTTTTAAAAACTTGGGAAGTACGGAGCGGAACCGCCTCCTTTAATTGTAAGGCTTGTTATTCACATTTTCATTCGCGCAGTTTCCTTCTCTCTTCCTGATTACACGTACGTACTGGCACTCACGCTACAATCCTGAAGAAGCATTTTCCCAAATGAATTTATCAAACGTTATTAACCGAAAAAAGTTTTAAGATCTTCTCACCTCAACCATTTCTCACAATAGTCGCAAAAGTCAAAGTCTCTTGTGTGACGAAGGCAGAAAGGGACCTCCCTGATGTAAATTTCACCGAGGCCTCTTAACCCCCAAAACCAACGACACCCCAGTTCGGAAAAACCGAAGGATCCCGGCAGGCGACCAACTGCCCTTGCTCTCCTAGCCCGCGAGACTGAAGTCACGCCCCCTACTAGACCACGCCCCCTCAGCCCCGCCCACAGCCCCCTTTGTCCATCCTGAGACCCCGCCCCCCAAAGCCCCAACCGGAGCCCCATTTGTCCACCCACACCGGAGACGCGCCTTCCCAGAGCCCCGCCTCCTCAGCTTTGTCAAGACCCCGCCCCCCCCCCCAGGCGCTTCCCCCAGCTCCCGCCTCGACCTTGCACCTGCAGCCACTCTTCTGTGCTGGAAGCGAATAACGAGAAAAACCGTGGTGCCGTTAGAGGCAAGATGGCGGCCGCTCGGGGGACGCGCACCCCACTTCCGGTCTCGGGTTTGGAAAGTAGAAGGCTCCCACGGGGCGTGGGAGCGCTGAGGCAGCGGGAGGGGCGGTGGCCGCGTCCTCGGGCCTCCACAGAGAAGTCCTGTCCTCGGCCCAAGGCACTGCAGCTGGGCCCAGGCCCCGCGGGATCCACTCCAGTGACCCTGGGCTGGAGCCCGCTGGCCAGGCTGGGGGCGGGACCGGAGCCTGTTGGGCGGAGCCTCGTGCCCGCCGGCACCTGACTGGCCAGGCAGCTCCCTCTCAGAAAAACGGCTGTTCTCTGAGTTCTTGCGGCGAGCTGCAAGGATGTGCGAAGCTTCGAGGCGGTTTGTTATGCAGCAGTACTGACTCCTCCATCCTCACTATTCTTAAAAAACTTTCTTGTCCCTCCTCAGTTTTTCAGTTTTATCTTCGAACTTGTCTTACATTTGCATGTTAATCTTGGGACTGTAGACTTTATTTTTTTAAAACCTTGGGTTTTTTAGTATTTTATTTATTTGACAGAGATCACAAGTAGGCAGAGAGGCAGGCAGAGAGAGGGTGCAGCAGGCTCCCTGCTGAGCAGAGAGCCGGATGTGGGGCTCGATCCCAGAACCCTCAGATCATGACCGGAGCCTAAGGCAGAGGCTTAACCCACTGAGCCACCCAGGTGCCCCTAAAACCTGTTTTTGTTTACAAACAGTAAACGACATTTAGTCTTTCCTTAGGTATGAGCTTGTGTGTATCTTTTATGTATTTCGATTGCTGTTTTAGTTTTATGTGGTTACCATCATGTCCCCTAATAATGCTTTTCCTTTCATTCATTAACTTGCTCAGACCTTCACAGAGCTTTTATTTCTACTGGGGAGGAGGACAGATGGTAGAACTAACAAGAAAACATGCGTGTCAATGCCACACTGGAGTATTTCTAGTATATCTAGAAACCTGTGCAGATTCATTGAATCATTTCTTTTTAACCCATTTCAAAAAAATAATATGATAAAGTGTTGACCTTAAAAATAAAAGTTATTTTACTGGAAAAATAGGTTTATTGAGGAATAGTCAAGAATTAAAATTTGGGACAAGCAAACTATGGCAAAACCATATGTTAGTCCAACAAAGGACAGGAATGTTATTCACGGAAAAGAAGGATAAGTTGGGAGGAGTTGTTTTTTGTTTGTTTAAGATTTTATTCATTCATCTGACAGACACGAGATCACAAGTAGGCAGAGAGGCAGGCAGGCGGCAAGGGGGTTGGGGAGCAAGCCCCCCGCGGAGCAGAGAGCCCAATGCGGGGCTCGATCCCAGGATCCTGAGATTATGACCTGAGCCGAAGGCAGAGGCTTTAAGCCACTGAGCCACCCACGCGTCCCAGGAGGAGTTGTTTTGAACAAAAGTAAATTGCATAAAAGCAAGAGTTGAGAGTAATGAGGAGTTTCTCATTGGCTAAGTTGCTTGAAGGATAGTCAATTTCTTATAGGAGATACAAGGTGCATCTTTTCTTTTTGGAGGACTGTAATGGACAGTTCTTCCTGTGGTTCACAAGAAGTGGTATAGCATGAAACTCACCCCTTCTGGCCTCCGGACTCCGTTTTAGTGAGGTTTCCCTTTATTAATTTTCACAACAGAAAGTAAATTTATAGTATAAATTTTATTTTATTTTATTTTCTAAAGATTTTATGTCATTAAAGATTTTGTTTTTATTAATTTTTTTAAAGAGGGAGAGACAGAATCTACTTCTAAACTCCATCAGGAGGATGCCCGTGGTTTGGTTGGTTAAGCGTCTGCCTTTGGCTCTGGTCATGATCCTAGGGTCCTGGGACTGAGTCCCACATCAGGGTCCCTGCTCAGTGGGAAGCCTCCTTCTCCCTCTCCCTGCCACTCCTCCTGCATAATTATGCTTTCTCTCCCTCTGTCAAATAAATAATATCTTAAAAAAAAAAAAACACCTCAGCTCTTTAAAAAAAAATAAACTCCATCAGGTTTGGTGACTTAATTGGCAAACTTAAATTCCTTTGGCTGTCCTATTTGATGAGAACAAAGGCAAGAGAAATGTAGCTAAAAGTAAGTCTTCTTACAACTTGCAGCCCACTGATAAATCCCCAAGATATGTGGAATGTGACATTCCTCAAGGAATTCATGGCTACTTTACTGTTGATATTTCATTAAAAACTAAAAACAATGTTACCTTAATAGCTAGCCCTCCAAGGTCCTGGAGACTTTGCTTTTAACGTGTACAAATTCCTTAGAGACATACTATCCCTAACCTCCACTAACAAAATATACAATCAGTTACTCCTCACAATCCCCTTGTGGCTCTTTCTGACCATAGGTCCCTGTACTGTAATAAAAGCACCTTATTGCACCAAGAATATCTCAAGAATTCTTTCTCTTTTTTTAAGGTTTTATTTATTTATTTGAGAGAGAGCCAAGAGAGAACACAGAGAGTGAGAGTGAAAGGAAGTAGCAGACTTCCTGATGAGCAGAGAGCTTGATGCAGAGCTCAACCCCAGGACCCCAAGATAATGACCTGAGCCCAAGCAGATGCTTACCTGACTGAGCCACCTAGGCACCCCATCAAGAATTCTTTTTTAATCATTAGCTCACTGGTCCACATCACTATTCATGAAAGCTTGCTGCGTCAATGCCAAAGAGAGGAAGACTCTAGAAACTACAGTCAGCTAGCAAGTTTTACATAATGCAGTAGAATTACAGGAGTGGTATCCCATCACCTCTGCCATATTCTCTTGGTTAGAAAGAAATATGATGGTGCAAATGTACACTCCCACACAGTATGAGCATTGCTGTTCTGCATCCTTATCCCAACTTGGTATTGTCAGCCTGTATATCTTTTTTTTTTAAAGATTTTATTTATTTATTTGACAGAGAGAGATCACAAGCAGACGGAGAGGCAGGCAGAGAGAGAGAGAGAGAGAGAGAGGGAAGCAGGCTCCCGGCTGAGCAGAGAGCCCGATGCGAGACTCGATCCCAGGACCCTGAGATCATGACCTGAGCCGAAGGCAGTGGCTTAACCCACTGAGCCACCCAGGTGCCCCAGCCTGTATATCTTTTTAAGATTTTATTTACTTATTTATTTGTCCAACAGAGAGAGACAGAGCCAAAGAGGGTACAACCAGGGGGAGCTGCAGGAAGAGTGAAAATCAGGCTCCCTGCTGAGCAAGGGCTCTAGGATCATGACCTGAGCTGAAGGCAGACAATTAACCTACTGAGCCACCCAGGCGTCCCAGCCTGTAATTTTCAACACTCTTATTAGGTGTGTACTAGCATCTCTGGATGGTTTTATTCCTATTTCATTGATCACTGAAACTAAACATCTTTTCATATGTTTATTGTTTGGAAACCTTTTTTTGGGAACTGCCTACTCAAGGCTCTTGTCCATTTTTCTTCTGGAACTTTTTTTCTTCGATAATGTAGAAGTTATTCTGCACAGCAATCCTTTTCATACATATGTTACATGTATCTTATCCCTCATTATAGCTTATTTTCCCTTTCTTAATGGTGCCTTTTTAAAAAAGATCTATTTATTTGAGTGAGAGAGAGCACATGCAGTGGGTAGGAACTGAAGGAGAGGCAAATCTTAAGCAGACACCAGCCTGACTCCGTGGAGCCTGACATAAGGCGCAATCTCAGGACCCTGAGATCATGATTGGAGTCAAAATCAAGAGTCAGATGCTTAACTGAATGAGCCACCCAGGCACCTCATAGTGTCTTTTTTTTTAAGATTTTATTTATTTATTTGACACAGAGAGAGAGCACAAGTAGGCAGAGAGGCAGGCAGAGAGAGAGGAGGAAGCAGGCTCCCTGCTGAGCAGAGAGCCCAAGGCGGGGCTCCATCCCAGGACCCCAAGACCATGACCCGAGCTGAAGGCAGAGGCTTAACCCACTGAGCCACCCAAGCGCCCCGTCGTGGTGTCTTTTTGATAGAGTTCTTGTGTATTCCAATAGATCTGTCTTTAATGTTGTGGTTACTGTTATTTCCTTATCTATAAACTGCCTATTTCCATGCCAATTCTCTACTGAATTGCTTGCCTTTTCATCACTGATACATAAGAGTAAGTTGTATATCATATATGCCTTCTCCTGGTTTACTTCCTGTCTTTCAATTCTGTATTAAATTTTGATGTAGTCAGATATCTTTTATTTTACATCTTTTTAAAAAGATTTTATTTGTCAGAGAGAGAGTGCATGCACAAGCAGACAGAAAGAGAAGCAAGCTCCCTGCTAAGCAAGGAGCCCAATGTGGGACTCAATCCCAGGACCCTAGGATCACAACCTAGGCCAAAGGCTGACGCTTAACTGACTGAGCCACCCAGGTGTCCTGTATTTACATCTTTTTTTGAGGGAGAGAGAGAGTGAGTGCATTTGAGGGGATATGGGGTGGCGGGAAAGGGAGAATTTTAAGCAGGCTCCATGCCCAGCGCAGAGCCAACAGCGGGCTCAATCTCACAACCCTGAGATCATGATCTGAGCCAAATGGCTTAACCAACTGGGCCACGTGGGCACCCCTCCTTTTGTATTTACATTTTTTAAAAAAGATTATATTTATTTATTTGAAAGTGAGAGAATGAGAGAAAGGAGGGTCAGAGGGAGAAGCAGACTCCCTGCTGTGCAGGGATCCTTTTGCGGACCTCCATGCAGGGACTCCAGGATCATGACCTGAGCCGAAGGCAGTCACTTGACCAACTGAGTCACCCAGGAGCCATACATCTTTTTTTTTTTTTAAGATTGTTTATTTATTTGACAGGGAGAGAGAATGAGAGAGCACAGGCAGGGACAGCAGCAGAGGGAGAAGCAGGGAGCCTGATGCAGGGCTCCATCCTAGGACCCTGGGATCATGACCTGGGCTGAAGGCAGACACTTAACCAACTGGGCCACCCAGGCACCCCTGTATTTACATCTTAAACAGGATATCCATAAACAACATATCCTCCAAGTGTACAATCTTTCCCCCTAACATGTTAAAGTTTTTTTTATTTGAGACAGAGATCACAAGTAGGCAGAGAG